CAGCCTGGATCCAAGAGCCTCCAGTTCGTTAATATAACCCATCACCCAAAGACAATGGACGTGAACTTGTTGGCCCCTGGACATCTGCGCGGTCATGAACTGCTTCAAGACCTTCTGCCGAGTAGAATGATTCTGCTCTTCATACATTGTCTTGAGACTGTCCAATATGTCCTTGGCTAGTTCGATCTGATCGAACTGCCTCTGTATTGGATTATCCAACGAGGCAATGATATAGCAGTGGGCAAGGGAGTTTTTCTCCTTCCATTCTTGGTATTCTCTTCTCTGGGCCTTAGAAGCCCTATCTCCCGGACGATCCAGGGCTGGATTCTTGGTCACCTTATCCAACTTTTTAGAGGTCAAGACCAGCATGAGGTTACGGTACCAGTTGGCATAGTTTGGGCCCTTAAGCTTGTTGTCGTCAAGAAGCTTTGCAAATTGTCAGTTTGCCATTTTCTAAAAAAAGAGCAAACATCAGTCCACAACCTAATTTGATTCATGTTCATTACATAGATATGGATTTTAATCTATGTTCCATTCCCATTTGTTCATCTCTGAGATTTCCCTCTTATCTCAGTGACGGAGACAGCGACTTGTCTCTGGAAATGTGGGAAATCACATAGGGTGCATGGAGCCAACTGTTTCAGCTGCAAAACTCCACCACCTTTCTGTGAAGGATCATATCCACTCATCATATGAGCTTTCCCTTTGGCCTCTATCAGACAAGGTTCATAGCCATTTTAGGTTAAACCTTTCTATCTAGTGAGTGCTCACCCATCATATTCGTGAACGCCAAGGTACCATGAGAGATTTCCCATGTTCTGGTGAAGCCCCTCCCACATCGGTCTATGATGCCCCTATCATCTTATGAAACACTCAAACAAATCCAACAGCAAATGGATAGCCCATTTTCTGGTGCGTTTCCTCATTACTAAATGACCCATCTTCATGCTAATGATGGAAGGCCTTTAGAGAGTTCATCATATGAATCTCCCTATCACATGCACTCATATTGCTGGAGGGAACAAGAATTATTCCCTAGCTTAATTTAGGTCAAACCAGTGTGGCTCCCACTGACTTTCATAAAGCCAGATTTAGGTGGGCCCTAATCGGCTAGGGTTCCGCACGTATCTTCTTCAGGAGGTGTGGGGCCCACCACTAAGGGAGATCATTCAATGATCTTTAGGGACACCATGGCAATGATGTGCATTCAGCCATGGTGTGCGCAAGAGCCACTATCGTATCTACATGGGCCAAGTACTTATGGCCCATGAACGTTGCACATCATACATCCATACATCACATGCAGGGATAAATTGATCCAATCAATTAAATATCTGTAAAGCCCATAATTAAAGCCCATTTTAATCCATAACATTAACAATTAACATTATCTAGGTATATGGGCCGAATTAGGGTTTAGCAGTTCGACCCATATAGCTTTCCTGCAAAAGTGGGCTCTTAGTAGTTTTAATAGTTTAAAATTGGGCTTTACAGGTTGGGTCGAATTAAACTATTAATTAAACATCAATCCTTAGGCCCATCAGTGGGAAATTAGGGTTGACAATCAGCCTCCATCGAACCCTAGATTCGGTTCAACCAATTTGGACCAATCTGGTTCGAATGGGTCTAGGGTTTGATCTTTAATTAAAAATTTAATCCAAGAAAATGATCTGAAATTAAATACTAATCAAAGAAAAGCAAGAATCAGTCAAACAGGGTTGTTCGCATATCACATCCTGCAAAACAGAGGTTAGATCACAGAGTGCAGTTTCATAAACTAAAATCGCAGATTGCGATATTCCCATCTGCGAAATCTCCTTCCTGCGCCGCCATCTTCGATCCAAAAATAATAGAAGCAGAAACCCTAAAATTTCTATTAATATTACATCAGATCGAATCCTATACATTCAGTCTCAAAATAAAAAAAAAATATATTTTACAGACCAAATGTAATAAATAAATCAAGAAACTACAAAATCGCAGTTTTCTGCGCCAATCAAGATCTCGATCTCCAGTTGTACGAATAACCCACAAAACAAGAAAATTATAAAGAACAATTCTAAATAAAATTCAGATTTATAAAATTTAATTTCATATCAATCGCCCTCTATCTGGGAAACTATTTTCCAGATAAAACCCTAATCTGCACAAATCGGGTAGAACGCCTTCTGCCCATTTGCGCAGGTTCAGATCTGCATTAATTCGGTTCAAGACTTGAACCTGGCTCTGATACCACTGAAGGGAATAGAGATCCATCATATGGATGGTCGAACCCTATAGGTAGGTTGGGCAAAATTTCAAAAATTTCCTTTCCCCTCATCTGGGAATCACATTCCCTGTTTTAGAAAATTTGCATTTTCAAGGATCAATCTTGAACCATAAACCAAACCAGATCTAAAACCAGAAGCAGGAGAGGGATATACCTGATACGAAGAAGCAGTATCTCCCAATGAAGGTGTTCACGCCCAAGGTAGAAACCAAAGACTGCTCCCACTGAAGATGGCACAGTGTAGGATGGAGCAGAATCAGAAGTGTTCTTCCAAAAGAACCGAACCCTTCACAAGAATTCGCTGGAGGCAGTGAGCACACCTTCAGATCAGCCTTTCTCCAAAGACTGATATCAAGATCCAATCTTGATCGCTCTTGCTAGAAAGAGGAGATCGAACTGGCAGTAATGGTGGCGGCAGGAAGGAGGCGGCAAGGAGAAAACAGCTCAGTCTCACTGGGTGTTGTGTTTTCTCTCTGAATTTCGAATGTGATTGATCTTCTATAGCTGCCGCCCCCTTCTCCTTTTATAACCTTAAAGGGATCAGCTCCTAATCCCATTAGGAGTTGTTGATCCAAATCATATTTGGATCTGAATTCCCTTTAAGAGATAAGGATAGACCCTTATCTTATCTGCAGATTAGATCAGCCCTCTCCTAATCTGATTAGAAGGCTTTCAGATCTAAATCTGTATTCAGATTTGGACTCTCTAAGTGGATAGGGTAAGACCCTATCCTATCTGCTAATCTAATCTCAGATTCGTCCCTTCTTTAACTTATCAAATCAGCCCAATTCGAAATGGGCTTTAGGCCCATTAATAGTATCTGCTCACTTAGCCTTCCAAACTGCTACCCAGTTGGGCTTCTTTGTATGGCGTGGGACCCAAGCATTGATCTACACATCAGCCACAAGGGTTCGGCCCAGCTTTTGTTACAAGGCCTAGCCGAATTCACTGGAAATCCCAGTGAACCTCCTGAGTCCATAACATGGACTCTATGGACCCAACACTTACACTAAGTGGTCCCTGGGCCAAGCCACCTTGTAACACTCAGGGACTGTGGGTAGATGCAAGATTAGCCCATTAGGTATTTCCCTCAATGGACTTACATTTAACCTCTCAGCCCATAATGATCATACACTGTCCGACAAGAGAGGACCTCTCCCTCGGCTGCAAGGAATAGTGCTGCATTCTCTACTCACATGGATCCCGGGAATTAAAACCTTTTGCAAACA